CCCCAGTAGATAGTTCTATGTCATAGCTGCACATCCTTCTAGTTGCTGTATGTGGGACACGGCCTCAGCATGGCCAGAGAAGCGGTGCGTCGGTGCGCACCCGGGATCTGAACCCGGGCCGCCAGCAGCGGAGCGCGCGCACTTAGCCGCTAAGCCACGGGGCCGGCCCTAATATGCTAATATTTTTAAAGGATTTTTAAATCTGTGTTCATGAGGGATATTGGTCTGTGGTTTTATTTTTTCTTATAAATTCTTTATCTGGTTTTGGTATAAAGGTAATGAGTTGGGAAGTGTTCCCTCTTCCTCTATTTTCTGAAAGAGTTTGTGCACAATTGGTATTTCTTCCTTAAATGTGTGACAGAATTCACCAATAAAGCTATCTGGGTCTGGAATTTTGTGGAAAGTTTTAAAATTATTAATTCAATTTTTAAATTGATAAAGATTTATTCACGTTTTCTATTTCTTATTGAGACTGTTTGGGTAATTTGTGTTTTTCAAGGATTGTCCATTTCATCTAGGTTGTTGAATTTAGTGACATCTTCTCTAATTCTCTCATTATCATAATATTCTCTCATTATTCTTCTAATGTCTACAGGATCTGTAGTGATGCCCCCTCCTTCATTCCTGTTACTAGTAATTTGTGTTTTCTCTCTTTTATTTCCTTGATCAGTCTAGGTAGAAACTCACCAATTTTATTTATGTTTTCAAAGCAGTAGCTTTGGTTTCATTGGTTTTCCCTATTGTTTTTCTGTTTTCAGTTTCATTGATCTCGGCTCTTCATTATTTCTCCCTTCTATCTACTTTGGGTTTAACTTACTCTTCTTTTTCTAGATGAAGTCTTTTTGAAATTATGTTTTTTGGAGTAGATAACGTAGTCTTACAGACAGTTATAAAGATCATTCTAGTCCAGTCTTCTCATTTTAAGGTTGAGGACACTAGTATTAATCACTACCATCTGCTCATAAAATGCTTTCTAAAGCTCTGCTGGAGCATATGCCAGGTACAAGGTATTGAGGGGAAGGGAGAAGGTGATGTTGCTTGAGGGAAGGTAAATTATGCTCTACTCTAGTGGCTGTCTATGTTCACCATCATTGGAGCAACCTCACAGGGAATTACACAAATTATTCAGGTATGTATAGGGCTGACAGTTGACTTTATTAACCTTAGTCAGGAGGCTTTATCAATCTTAGTCTTTCTGACTTAGATCTATTTCTTTAATCAATACATTTAAGATTATTAGTTGCTTTTATTAACCTTTGTGTTTCTGATTTAGGTCTACTTCTTCAACAGAAAAACTAAAGTTTAATACAACAAAGTACTCCAGAAATTTAATACTGAGCAAAGAGGTGGAAATTTTCTTACATCAGAACTATTCATTATTTTAAAATATAGTTATGCATAAATATTATGTGGAAAAAGAGTTACTGCTGAAGATGAAGCATTAAAATCAGTCTTATATATAATACTCAAAACTTCTTTTCATTCTATAAGTTGCTTAATCACTTTCTCTCTCTGCCCGCAGAACAGCCCAAGTTTCAGCTACTAAATGCCATTCCCTGCCCCCAATTGAGAATGAGAGACAAGAAAACTCTTATGAGAAAAGAAGTCATAGCTACGGTAATTTTTAAAATAACTTTTTCCATCACTGCATTTAAAATTTTTCTTTTTTAAAGAAATCCTCATGGAGCACACCAATTACTGAAATCAGAAAAACTAGTTTTATCACTGCAATTGTAAAAATATTAATTATGCATAGTTTATTACTATATTAAATATAGATGGATTCTGCTTTGAGAAAACACAATAAAACTAACCTAAATGAGCAAATTAGGAGTTGACTATTCATATTTCAAAAGGATTCTTCAATTTTAACAGGATTCACTGCAGCTTTTTCATAGAATATGATACTCCTGTGGTTTTAAAAATCATTTAAAAAATTTAATTTACACATAATTTTTCAGGAACTCATCTATTGTCTAAAATGATGCACAACTCTGCATGTGTATAGATCATGCCATAAAGAAAAGGCTCATAAAAATTTCCCACAAGTTATCTAATTAACTGTGACTATAAGAATGAACATAAACATTGGTTATAATGCATAGAAAACCACTAGAAAAAACTATTCTTGCATTATTTATTTTTTATGATTTTGTGTAAATACTTTACATTGCTAGTTTCTAGCTTAAAAAGAACTTTAATATGCCCATTATGCCCTTGCCTAATTACTGATTTATTGGAAAACTTTTCTTAATAAACAATACAAAAATAAACTTCAGCTCACCTGGTAGAATCATAGAAAATTTGAATTAGTAAAGTGAAATCTGATGACCCAAAGATAACAAATGCTGCACATTACCCACAGAGTTCTGACACTGTGGGTCAGAACTGTCTGGTATCTGAGTCAGAGATACAGAGACCCAGGTCCTGGACACAGTGAGGAGCTCCATAGTCCTAACCTCCTGGGTGGAACTGTGGTTTGAAAGTGTCAGATGAGGGCTCTCAATGAACATGGATCTCTTGAAAAAGGCTGTCAAGCTCTCAGAAAAGGAGAATTTTGAAGTCACAGTATGTTTCATTTGAACCAACCCCCTTCCCCAACTTTGATCATTTAGTCTTAGTTCTAGAATTCCTAAATAGCTGATGTTTGTAAGTGTGATGCTTTTTGCCTCAAATTTACCTTAGGCTTGGTAACATGAAGTTCTTTCACCATTTGAATATAGTGCTTCTTCCATACACCCTGTTCAAAGGGAGTTGGAGAGAAATTGATGTACCAGTTAAACCGTAAACATTTGAGCATCCAGAGCTGATCCAGCTCAGTTAAGTTCTTCCAATGCCAGCTCACCTGGGAAAACAACAATTGGAAAAAAAACAACAAAAATCCTACTCAGTTTACATGCCCACTTTCACTAGGTTTTGAGCTGTCACGCTGGACCTGAGATAACTTTTTTGTCCTTTTCCTCCAAATCACAGCTTAAACAGTTACCTCCTACCTAAACTGCTTCCTATCCAGGCAGAAGGATTTTCTCTAAATGTTAATTCAGACTTAGAATCAGAGACAACTAATATTTATTGAGCATCTACTAACTATCCTCATGGCAACCTAAGGAGGTAAGTATAATTATTACTCTCATATTGCAAATAAGGAAACTGTGGCTCAGACAGATTTGGAACTTTCTAAAGGTTCCTAAAGGTCATACGAAAGTTATACAAACGTTATAGAAACTCCTGTCTGCACATTGTTTATTCTTTTCATAGTATGTTTCCATTTTCCCTCCATTCTTATGACTTAAGCAAATATAATTTTTTGTGTGTGTGTGAGGAGGATCAGCCCTGTGCTAACGTCTGCCAATTTTTCTTTTTTTGCTGAGGAAGACTGGCCCTGGGCTAACATCTGTGCCCATCTTCCTCCACTTTATATGGGATGCCGCCACAGCATGGCTTGCCAAGCGGTGCGCCGGCACGCGCCCGGGATCCGAACCAGGGAACCCCGGGCTGCCGCAGCGGAGCGCACGCACTTAACCGCTTGCGCCACTGGGCCGGCCCATAAATTTTATAAAGGGAAAAGAATTATTGATACTATATGGTGTGTCCTATATAGCCTTTAAGATTCCATAGAGCATAAAGTATTTGTTCTGTACATTCCATTTCCATAGAATTATGGTCAATGCCACACACCCAGCAAATGGTGGAGGTGACCCTACTATGTGTAGCAGTATTTACAACAATTTACTCCAATTTTGAATAAGACTTGCTAGAAACTAGGGTCAAGTTCATATATAAGTTGAGACGGCATTCTGCCTGTTATCTGTCAGAGTTGCAAAGAGAACATCTAACTTTCAAACTCAAATTTCATCCTTGGAAAACTGGCCTCTTTTTCAAGATTAATTAAATAACTAATAACTTTTGAGTGCCAAAAAAATAAGCAGAACACTCTAATGGGCCTTGTTATCCATACATCCATTTATTTATTCCCCTTTCCTCTCTCCTTCCATCCACCATGTACTGTGTTCCTACTATGTTTAGCATTGTTTTATGTGCTGAAGATGAGACATGCAGGAGAGAGGAGGGCACAATTAGAAGAAATAACAGGTCTAGGAGCTGCAAGGAGAAAAAGATCAGAGGATCCGATAGAGCCCTGCAGACAGAAACAGAAATTACATCTACTTTGTTCAACCCAGAAATGAAACAACACTGACCTTAATCCCTATATGGTTAATTAACTCAGAATTCAATGGAAAGGTGAGGTTTTGGAGGGAGAGGATGGGAAGAAAAGTTTCTCAATTCTCACTTCTTTCCTCCTTTTCCTTAGATCTTGCTTAGACCTGGGTATTTAAGTTGGTTTCTTTTCCCCCAGGGTAGATAAAGTTTTTGCTTGTTTTGCTTTTTGGTGTTTCTTTTTTTTTTAAGGTAGACAGAATAAGGAGAATTGAGGGGCAGGTAGGAGTTTTCAAAACTATAAGACCCCCAACCCCCATCTTTTTAAACAGCCCAAAGCTCACTTTAGTGCAATGACTTTATTGTTTACTTTAAATCTAACTGAAGAACAACTGCCTGTGTCCTCACAGTCAGTACTGGGAATAAAACATACTACTTAAATCTTGCAAGACTGACATATGGTGCACATAGATGATAGGATTAGCAATTGCAAATAACATTTCTGTCAAATGATAACATTCTCATTGTGGAAAACTTGGAAAATTCTGAGAAGTTTAAAGAAAAACAATACCCATAACCTCATCCATCAGAGATGACCATTATTAACAACCTGGTAGAGTTCTTTTGCTTTCTTTTTTCTAGGCATGAATGAAACAAAATTGGAAAACTCTATATAATTTAAAATCATGCTTTCTTCATTTTACATATCATAAGCATCTCTGTTCTTCCAAAACATGTTTTATAATGGCTGCATTATAATTCATCATATGGCTGTATAATACTTTCCTGTTATTGGACATTTAGAATGCTATGCTCTTTTGAAAAATTGTTTCAATTTTGGAATAGGTGACATGTATACATTATACTAAATTCAAAGACACAAAGGGACATACGGTAAAAAAGAAGTCTCTCTCCCATCTCTGTCCTCTAGTCACTCATTTCCTTCCCTAGATGTAACCACTGTTACCAGCTTCTTAGGTGTATCCAGAAATATTCTAGGCCTATATTAACAAATATGTCCATATTCTTTTTTATTTTCAAAATGGTAGGACAGTTCTGTACTTTCACTTTTTTTTACTAATGATGTATCTTGGGGATTGTTGCAATTTATTTATACATCTCCCTAATGGTAGACACTTCCATTGTTTCCAAACTTTTCTATTACAAACAATGTTGCAATATTCTTAGACAGACGTAATTTTTGAGTATGTTGAGTATACCCATCAGCCAAAATCCAAGAAGTATAACTGCTGGGTCAAAGGGAATCTTTACTTAAAAATTTAATATCACCAAATTGTTCTCCATGGTAGTTGCACCAATTTATCTACAAACAATATGTGCAAGTTCTTGTTTCCCTACATCCTCACCAGTATAGAATATTATCATTAAAAAAAAAAACTGTCATTCTGAGTCATGACAGATGGCATGTCATAATGAGGCTAAGCATCTTATATATTTTAGAAATATCTGCATTTCTTTCTGTGAACTACTTGTTCATTTCCTTTGATCATTTTTCTGCTGAGTTGTTCACTGTTTTTTTCTTAATATAAATTTATAGGTGTTCTTTAAAAAATAAGGAAATTAGCCCTTCGTTGGCAATATGTTTTTTCCCTGTTTACAGTTTGGATATATTTATGGTGTTCTTTTCCACAGAGAAAATTTTAATTTTTATAGGCACAATTTAAAATCTTCCTTTCTTTATTCTTGCTTATAAAATATACATAGAAACATAAAATATATATAAAATGAATAAAGCAAGATTTTAAATTACGTATTTTCTTTTAAGGCTTCTGGGTATTATAGAATACTCACAAAGGCCTCCTTCCCCATGTTTTCTTTGAATACTTTCATGGTTTCCTTTGATTTCATATCAATCTTTTATTCTACTAGAATTTATTTTTCAGATAGCTGCCCAATTGTCCCAACATAATTATTGAATAATTCACCTTTCTTACTGCTTACTGGACTCTATGAAAAGACTCAACAAAATGACTACCAGTTTTATACTTAAATAATTTAACTACACTTTAATACATCATGAAATTGCTTCTTAGAAAATAACGGTCAGCTCCTTTTCCAAGGCCTCTGTGAGCATACATGCCCACTCTGAACTCTTTTAGTCTCATACTCTTTTACACATATCTCATTAGCACCTTACTTTGAGGTTTTCTAGTTATGAATGGCCTGCACTATATAATTTAGCATTTTATTGTATTTATATGCTATACAATACAAGACTATCCTGCTGATGAACCATTTCTTCTATGTGTCTTTGCCTCACCAACTAGCTAATACATTTTTTGTGGACATTAATGGTATCTTATACTTCTCCCCCCTGTTTTAGCAGTAAATACAGAGTTAGACACAAAGGAGATGGAGGTTTATCCAAACGACACAGAGTAAACATACTGACCATCTCATCTACTTCTTGGTTTTATGTATGTGCTTTTTTTCCCTTAAGTTATCCAATTTCCGAAATTCCTAGGCTCTCCTTACAAAATGCTGTACCTTGCTTCTTTGCCGTTACCTGTGCACAACGACAAAGGCTTCGGGGGTCCAAGAAAGAAAAGATATATAAAGATAACACCCTTGGAAGCTTGGTAGTAAAATCCAAAGCTTCTGCTGGAATTTTTTCCTGAAGCTTTCGACAGCAGAACTTTTGCTGTGACAGGGAGCAGCGTTCTAACAGGCCTGTCAGGATTCTTCTCCTTTGAGAGTCTGTCCATTTGTCAAACTGGAAAAAAAAGAAAAAGAAAAAAAAGCTCCAGGTTTAGTCTGACACTAGAGATTTATTATGAGGAAGAGATAAAGATAGCATAGAAAGTGAGTTTACTAATTTATTTCTAATGAAAAGCCTGTATTTCTTTTCCTAATTAGTAAATTCCACATTTTGCCACCTACCTGTCCTTTTGAACATTTATATGTGTGATCATGTGCAAGAGCTGAGTGTGTACACAGAGGTGCACTTGACCTCAGAATTTGCAGTTACCTAAGAACAGTAAGTTGGGAGCTGGCCATATTCATAAACTGAGAAAATATACACTTATAAAATACAATTTCAAGAGCAGACACCTAGGCAGCCCCTCTCCTTCCAAAGAGTTTCTATATTAGCTTATCAGTGCTTAAAACTTGAAGACCAGCACAGATGTTAGCTCTGGGATAATCTTCCTCAAGCAAAGAAAGAGGAAGAATGGCAACAGATGTTAGCTCAGGGCGAATCTTCCTCAGCAAAACAAAACAAAACAAAAACAAAAACAAAACAAAACAAAAAAACTTGAAGACCAGAAACAAACCTTTGCATTCACAATTGGAGATAAGGTATAACATGCAAATACCCCTAAGAAAGGGAGTTTATTGGGTTAAAGTCCAACTAATGTGTAAATGATTAGAGAGGAAATGTCGATATGTGGACCTAGAAAAAAAAGAGTGCCAGGGCCAACCCCGTGGCTTAGCAGTTAAGAGCACGTGCTCCGCTGCTGGCGGCCGGGGTTCAGACCCCGGGCACACACCTATGCACTGCTTCTCCGGCCATGCAGAGGCCACGTCCCACGTACAGCAACTAGAAGGATGTGCAACTATGACATACAACTATCCACTGGGGCTTTGGGGGAAAAAAAAGGAGGAGGATTGGCAATAGATGTTAGCTCAGAGCCGGTCTTCCTCAGCAAAAAGAGGAGGATTAGCACGGATGTTAGCTCAGG